TGTTTGTTTAATATAAAATTAAAAATATTTGTGAAATTATACAATTAAAAATTTTTTAAATTATAAAAAATAAAACTATTTTATTGATTTATAAAATTTTTTTATCAAGTTCATATAATATATAATATAATTATAATCGAATGCGGGTTCTTAAAAAAAATGAAAATATTTCTATTATTAAATAAATAAATAAATAAATTTTATAATTGAATTTTAATTATAATATAAAATATCTAAAAAATCTTTTTTTAATAAAATATTTTACATATATGAACTTTTACTTTACTTTTTTTAACTCTTCATCAAATAAATTTTTTGCATCAAACTGTATATTGTGCAAAATACCTGATAAAATATATTTGTTCCCAAAATGCTGTTTCAATGTTATTTATTTTGAAATCTGAGATTAAAATGTTGATGTAAACACCCACGATACATGAAGCGAAATATTTCAACATTAAATAACTACAGATTTTCTCTCTCAATCGATTCGTATAGATCAAGTTCCACTTTCCTTATCGATTCTTGCAATCTGTAAATTGATTCTCCAATTAAACTAGATGCAAACACCAATACCCTTTCATAATCTTCATGATATATCCCAACCAACTCCGTATGTTTTAAGAAACCGTTGTCCATACGCTTACGACGATATACATTTTTGTCTAATTGATAAGAAGTATAATTTTCTCCCAATCCCATCTTAGGTTCCCTATTATCATGTTCATCAGGTGTATATAAAAAAGTCGAATATCTATCCCGCAGATCATTTTTTGAACTTTCCTTATAAGAGGCTTCTCCAGGGGTTTTTGCGCATAGACTCAATTCCTGAATTTCTTCTTCAATTGGCTCGATATACCTTTCATGATTTTCTAAACAAACTATTTTCTTTCGAGCAACATTTCTTTCTTTTAGAACTTTATAAAATTCTTTAATAGTCAATTCTCTGGATGAGTCTATGTGTTGAATTGATTCTTGGAGTTTTTTTATTTTATGTTCCAAGGTTTGACTCTCTATATCGGGTATCACAGTTTCTGACAGTTCTCGAAAAGGTTCTGATAATTTTTTCATGCCTTCTAATAAATATCAAAGTTGTATTAAAATTTTCTCAGTCCTTTTCTCTTTTCCCTTTTTTTAGAAAGTAACATAATACAAGAATTCTCGAGTTTACCTTCATGTTTCTTCTCTTCTCCTGAAATTTCTTTGTCATTGCCAACTAAGAAATCCGCACAGTACTCTATATACTTGTCTGGGTTAA